CCACTGTCTGACGTGAAATCAGAATAAACTTTTCTCGTTTTAGGTCAGTTACGATTACCAACATTTTTTCTATTTGCAAAATGCCAAAACGATGAGTGAGATTTTTTTAAGGCAATTTTTATGACTTTCTTCAAAGTCAAAAGTTTAAATACACGAATATTACTATTTCTTAACAATTTTGGACATTTGATGCCATGTAATTGGAAGTTTCTGATGAGTTTATTGATAACATCTGAGTTAATTAAAGACACACCTATAGATGTAATTTAAGGAACACCTGAAACACACTGCTTCACATCAATTCTTCTTCACATCAGTGAAGAACATACATAAGAGGATCTGCAGTGGAAGTGGTCTCCAGCTACAAGTACTTGGGTGTACACATGAATGACAACCTCAGCTGGAGCAACAACACCACCAGCCTGATCAAGAAAGTTCATCAGAGACTCTACTTCCTCAGACGGCTGAGGCGAGCTGGTCTGGGAAGCTCAGTCCTCACCTCCTTCTACAGGTGTGCAGTGGAGAGCATCCTGTGCTCCAGCATCAACGTGTGGCATGGAGGCTGCACAGCTGCAGAAAGAAAAGCTTTGCAGAGAGTAGTGAAGGCTGCACAGAAGACTGTTGGGAGTCAGCCTCCCCACCATCACAGACATCTACACCTCCAGATGCAGGAAGAGGGCCACCTGCATCTTGAAGGACCCCACTCACCCAGCACACACACTTTTTGCCCCACTCCCCTCAGGAAGAAGGTTGAGGAGCATTAAGTGTAGAACCACTAGACTGAGGAACAGCTTCTACCCTGAGGCTGTTAGACTCATGAATCTCTAACTAGAATAATCACTGTGAAAAATCACATCATGTTGCTGCTGATCAGTTTCAATGTTGCTGCTGATCAATTTCAATGGTGCTGCTGATCTGTATGATCCTGGTTCCATCATACACCTGCTTCAGCAAACTCACTGTCATCTAGAAAAGGCAGACAGCACTGTGAGAGTCATGTTCTTTGATTTCTCCACTGCATTTAACACAATCCAGCCTGGTCTGCTTTGTCAGAAACTTCAGAAGACTCAGGTGGAGGCCTCAACAATCACCTGGATCAAAAACTGCCTGACAAACAGACCACAGTTTGTGAGACTGAAGGGTTGTGTGTCCAACCAGGTGGTCAATAGCTCAGGAGCACCACAGGGGACTGTACTCTCACCATTCCTTTTCACTCTGTACACCTCAGATTTCCAGTACAAAACAGACTCCTGTCATCTGCAGAAATATTCTGATGACTCTTCAGTGGTCGGGTGTATCAGAGATGGACAGGAAGCTGAGTACAGGGAACTGGTGGACCGCTTTGTGGCATGGTGTGGAAACAATCATCTCATCTTGAATGTGAACAAAACAAAGGAGATGACTGTAGATTTCAGCAGAAACAGGAACAGGTCCAACCCTATTTCCATGATGGGAGAAGAAGTGGAGGTGGTGGAGAAGTATAAATACATTGGGGTTCACCTGGACAACAGACTGGACTGAAGATGCAACAGTGAAGTCGTCTACAAGAAGAGACAGAGCAGACTGTATCCAACATTTTTTAGTCAGGTCTTCTGGACAGTTTCTTTTTTTTGTGCTGAAACGTTTCGCCTTCGATCCAGAAGGCTTCATCAGTCAAGGAAACACACAACAAAACTGATTCTTCCTCCTACAGCTTACTCCAAAGTGGAACAAACCAGTTCTGCTTGTGATTAGACAGTCTCTTTGGTACGCCCCTCCTCCATTGCCGGCCCTCTTCCTTGTTGACAGTCGTGTCAAACTGGTTGAAAACAACAACTGACTGTACTTCTTGAGGAAGCTGAAGTCCTTCAGTGTTTGCAGCAAGATGCTGCATATCTTCTATAAGTCTGTTGTAGAGAGTGCTATCTCTTCTGCCATCATCTGCTGGGGGAGCAGCACCAGAGCAAGTGACTTAAAAAAGATCAACAAGCTCATAAAGAAGGCTGGCTCATCTAAAAATAGTTAAATCTGGTCCTCTGGACATTCAAAAAAAAAAAAAAAGCAAAACAACAAAAAAATGTAGAAACGTTTCGTCTCTCATCCAAGAGACTTCTTCAGTCTGAGGTGCTGTATTCAGCTCAGTCTCTTAAATAGCACCTTCTCAGAGTGGATCAACCAGTTTGCTGCTGACAACCAAAACCAGCAGCTCACATGATCAAGAAGGACCATCAGCCTAACAATGGATCATTAGCACACTGATGGCTGTTTACTATTCACAGAGGGCTGAGTGATACTAGCAATCACAGCATTGTAAGAGGGGGACAATTGAACCCGGAGGCCTCCACCCCTGTTTAATGATGGACGATTTCTTTTCACAAAGATGGCCTCCTTTACTCCTCTCTCAAACCATCGTTCCTCTCTGTCCAGGATGTGAACATCTTCATCCCTGAAAGAGTGACCGCTGGCCTGGAGATGAGTGTAGACCGCAGAGTCCTGGCCTGATGATGTTGATCTTCTGTACTGGGCCATCCTTTTGGCCAGTGGCTGTTTAGTTTCCCCGATGTAAGACTGAGCACAGCCCTCCTGACACTGAACAGCATACACAATATTACTCTGTTTGTGCCGGGGGACTGGATCTTTGGGATGAACCAGTCTTTGCTGTAATGTATTTTGGGGTTTAAAAGCTGGTCCAGACGACCAGATTTAATTTTTTTTTTTTTTTTTTTTAGATTTTTCTACCTGGATTATTGAGCATGCATCAGGATAAGGCTGGCTCAGTTCTGGGGACTCCTCTAGAACCTTTGGAGATGGTTGTACAAAGAAGGATTCTTCATAAAATGAAGAACATTATAAACAACCCTCAGCATCCTCTTCATCAGACTGTCATACAACAACAGTCTTCAGTCAGCGGCTTCTTCAGATCTGTTGTAGGACATACGCTACAAGAGATCCTTCCTGCCATCAGCATCTAGAACAACTCTTTAATGAAACCAGGATGATGAGTTACAACATTTAATTTCCATCTGGGATTAATAAAGTATTTTTGAATTGAACTGAATCTGTTTCATGTTGATGTGTTCATGCGTGCTCCTCTGCTCACACAGACTCATGTTTGTGCTGCTGTTCGACGTAATGTTTTTATACGACTAGTCCTTAGTGTATATTTAATTGTTTTTCTTAGTTCATCTCTTAGATGTTATCATTGTTTTTCTTTTACATTTTATTGTTGGATGTAACTGGGACCCTGTGTACATAATTTCGTTCCACCACATGTACCACATGAGGTGCGATTGACAAAGAACCTTGAATCCTTCCTTGTGGAACTTCATGGGAAAGTTGAAACAAATCAGCCAACGCATCAGGAAGAGAATTATGGACTTGCACAAGTCTGGTTCACCCTTGGGTGCAATTTCCAGATGCCTGAATGTGCCTCGTTTATCTGTACAAACAATTACACGCAAGTACAAACAAGACGGGGATGTCCAGCCAACATACCGCTCAGGAAGGAGACGGGTTCTGTGTCCCAGAGATGAACATGGTTTGGTCTGAAATTTGCAGATCAACCCAAGAACAAAAGCAGAAGACTTGGTGAAGATGCTAGCTGAAACTGGTAGGAGTGTCTCATTAGCTGTTTACATGCACAAAGTTCTTTGACCGGATTGAAATGTTTTCAGATTAAATAACTCGAATGTATCGTTTACATGGGCACAATCTGTTCAAGATGAGCGTTTACATGCAGCTTTTATTCTGAACAGAAGTACTGACATGTGCAGAGTGGTAAACTCTCCTTAAAAAAAAACACAGAAGAAGTTCTACTTCCGGTTTACTTCCAGGACGAACGTAAACAAACCTGAGCGCCCAAAATGGACCCGCGTCAGGTTTTAATGACGGTAGAGACGTCCCTGACTGAGCTACAGGTAATACAGATTATTTTGAGCTCTTTCAAAGTTTCTAGTAGAAATGTTGTCGCTCATCGACCAGTTTTACTTCCCCGACATGCTAATATTATTAGCATCTAGCCAGGTGGAAATATGTGAAGTTGACAGGTCACATGTGCACAGTCAGGTCAGTTTCCATGATCGGAAAAAAATGATCAGATTAAGTGTTGACATGCACACTGTTCAGATTATGAATCGGCATAAACCACCCATCTCATTCAGATTACAAATTCTTTTGGATCGAGATGAATCAACAAAAAATAATCCGAATGGGGCATTTACAGGAGGCAATTTTATTCTGAATGGCTGTTTAATCTGAATATTTATGTCCATGTAAACATAGCAACATCCACAGTGAAACTGTATCGACATGGGCTGAAAGGCCACTCTGCCAGGAAGAAGCCGTTACTTCAAAAGAAACATAAAAAAGCCAGATTAATGTTTGCAAACGCACACAGGGACAAACCTTAATTTCTGGAGACATGTCCTGTGGTCTGAAGAAACTAAAATTGAACTGTTACGTTTGGAGGAAAAAGCCTGAGAACACCATCCCGACTGTGAAACACGGGGGTGGCAGCATTATGTTGTGGGGTTGTTTTGCTGCAGGAGGGACTGGTGCACTTCACAAAATAGATGGCATCATGAGGAGAACATTATGTGGAAATACTGAAGCAACATCTCCAGACATCAGACAGGAAGTTGAAGCCTGGGCACAAATGCAGTGTTTGCCCTACTATTATACAAGCGGGGTGCGCCGCCCCGTTAACAGAACCGAGCGTCCCGCCTACTGAACTACGACCCCCACCACCACAGGCACCACTGGTGTAATGCAATACAGGTGCGCTAGCTAAAAAGCTAAAGGCAGCGCTCACACTGAAACACCACTACCACGCGCGCTCGAAAACTGCTGGTACAAGCAGCTGCATCTCAGAAATGTTGCAGCTCACTGAACATTTAAAACAAGTTTTGAGAAGCCCCGAAGAAAATACTGCAGTGAAAAAAGCTGCACACTTTGTAAAGGAATCATCCCAGTTACACAACTATTAGAACGGTTAGTAAAAGCAAAACATATTCTTTGTGAACAGCTGAAAATTCCCCCGGTCTCACAATTTTAAGTTGTGTAGTGAACCTGATCTGACCTCAAATCTGATCAGATGGACAGAGAC